TTAAAGCGAAAATGATTTATATAAATCTTGGCTCACAACCAACTGAATACTGAAGAATGCTGAGAAAGACCAAACCTCATGCAATTTATCTTCCAATTTTTTTTACGCGAGCAAATTTTCAAATGAATGAAATACTTTGAGTAATAAGCAATAAATATACTTAATATACGCAGTGTGCAGGTATTCAAGTGTACTTTTCAATTATATGAAAAATACTCATATGTTACAGAAACACGTCTTGGTTGTATCGTTTGGGTTTTTAAAAGTTCTCTTCTCATTACCCTATTGCTACTTCATTTTGACTTTGAGGTCACAAGACCATGAAGCTCTCGATAATATATTTTTTACTGATGCTTAAATATAGTCTTTGTGTAGAAAGCCAAAAGCACTGCAAAGAAATAATTTTCATGGAAAATACCCACAACTGTTGTAACATACGGACACACACGTCTGTCAGCAACTGCCAGGTCAACACTACACCAGTGCTTTGTGTATGTACTTAATACTGTTCTATATCTTTGGTGTCAACTATTACTTAAAAATAATGTTGGTACTAGTACTCTACTCGCTCATATGATAACCTAATATCGCTAGTATACTATAAACAAGCTAGTGTTAATATTAATACATCTTTAGCATGATACCTAGATATAGGCTAAAATGTTATAGGCTTCCGTAAATTTAGCAAGAAGCTTTCGTGCTATGGATTTGAAAAAGAAACGCAGCTCGGAAAAACAGAACAAAACACGTGAATACAAAACAAAAGCATTCAACTCAAAATTACAGCCAGACAAGAAAAATAGTTTACTGGCCGTCTAGGGGTTTACAATGCTGTCCGCACTACCGTACAAAAACCGTGTAATGTGATCTCGTGTTAAATTAATGGGCATGATCTTAATTCTAAGATGGGTTGTGTTTAACATCATTGTGTTTAAGTGATTTAATAGAAATAATTCACTGTATTACATTTTTAGGTTATTCAATGACAATTTAATCAACGTTTTCCCTTAAACAAACACAAAAACGCAAAATTAGAAGAAGAAAAAATATTCAAGAATATGAGAAAACGGTGAAATTCCAAGACATCAAAGTTGTTCTGTTTCCACAAATTTTCCTGATACAAACATTGCAAAATTATATTATTAAATCTTAATGAAACACAAAATTAATATCTGAAAATGGTTTGGATGGGGAATTATACTCTGTGTTAAACAAAATGGGTAGTTTTTTTAAGGTGGGACGAAATGGGCAGGGCAAGACACTTTTGTTCAATACCAAAAATCTCTGTTCCACAAATCAAAAACAAACACTAATAAAAACCTGCAAACAACTGAAAAGACTGAAAAAGCCTCAGTGATTTGTCTCTGTAATCAAAACATTGGCATCCATGTTGTTATATCTGGAACAAAATAATTTTCAAAATGTAAGTTATCCCAATTGTCGATACATAATGAAATGGTCATATTTTCAGTTATATTTTGAAGCCAACTATGAGTAATATTCAATCAGATTTTTGTATTAATTAGACATATTTATCATAACTTAAGACTGACAATCACTTGCAGTGCTGCTGAACAAAGGGATGGTTCTCGTTTATTTCTTTAATTCACCTACTTTCTCTGGCTCACTTTTGTGTGTTCTTCACTTATATTACCCCTTTGGTTCTTTTTTGACAGATCCTTCACTTCCACAATTTAGGTCTGAAAACGCGTCTTTTTCCTACATCTTCTGCAAAACACCACTTCAAATATCTATGGACTTAATGGAATGTTAGGTCTTGTGCTACTGCTCATTTGGGTCCCTTATTTTTCCTTATTTGCTATTGTCTGTATGTTTTCTCTGGTCTATTGACTCTGCTGCATACAGACCTGTAATTGACCACTGTATTTTAGTTTTCAAATGTTGTATGGAATGTTAATAATTTAATTTGTTAATTTCCTTCCATTGTCTTCATACTATCTTCATTGTTCTTGCTCTCTTTTATCCATCTCTTATAATGATTGGTGTTGCTATTTTATTATTATTATTATTATTATTATTATTATTATTATTATTGTTGTTGTTGTACATGTATTGGCCATTTATGACCATGCTCCACGTCCGCTGAGGCCCAGTCATATTTATCCCAGAGATATTAACATGTGTCATTTTGGAAATTAGCTTTTTCGGCTGTATCCCTTGGTGAGTCAAAGTTGTTACACCTTGAATTATGAATTATGGGGTGATATGATGATGATGAGGAGTGAAGGGACAATCACAAATATGACCATGCCTACACAGGACTCTACCTGCAGCCTTCTTGGCACAGGCAAAGTCTGTGCCACAAGGCCAGCTTGTTATTTATTATTAGTATTATTATTGTTGTTATTTTTGCTAAACATTTTTCATTTTCTTCTGACATTCTCGATGTGTTTCAGTCCCAAATCTCCACCAAACAGCCCTAATACTGAACTGGTTGACGACGAGTTAAAAGGTGTCTACATCAATTATTGCTACAAGGTTGGTATGCTGAAATATTTGCAGAATTCCTTATATTTATTATTATTTCCATTGTAAATATGTTATGGAATTATGTTCTGCCATACTGTGATTGAATCCTGGAATTGTACTGTCTCAAACTAGATCCATAATAGGCGTAAAAGTTTTATAGACAGAACGTAGCAGATAATAGTATTGGAGGATGGGATAAACAATAATTATTATTGTATTTTATTACTGTGTAAGGGAAAAATCAATAAAACAGCATGATACAAGGGTTGGATAAAAAGTAATGAGTTTTTTTCCCCTCTCTGAAATGACTTTATTGACAGAAGTATTTTCTCTTGCACACCTTCAATATAATCACCTCCATTATTATTGACCTCCCAAAATGTTAGGACCATCTCGTACATCATCTGCATGTCTATTTCTGTTGATGTCCCATATTGATCACAATATAGTATGAATAATTTCTTCTCTGGTATTGTACTGGGTTCTTTCATTTTCCTGAAGAGACCATAATCACAGGGACTGATATCAGGTGAGTAAGGTGGATGTTTCAGAATCTCCCACTGCTAACTGCGCAAGAGTTGTCCACGTGGGGTCGTCTTGTACATCCTCACAACCTTATCACATATCCTTACATACATTATCCTTCACATCATCACTGGCTATTCTGAATGCTTAAACCCATCATAGGTATGGGCAACATAGCATCACCACCTGCTCCCCGCAGTCCTCACAAACAGTCGTACTTACTTGGACCTTGTCCACTTCAATTTTGAGTCACAAACGTTACTCTATGTTTGTAAACATGAGGTTAGGAAACTTGCACTAATGCTATGAGGTTCAACAATTTACACTCTGCAGTTGACTGATAAGAGTACTGTTTCCACTTGCTGCACAACCTTGTCTAATAGTCCTTCCTGTTGGCACGACAGATGGCAGCATGCGGACTCGCCAGCTTTAATTTACAGCAATATTCTCATTACTTTTTATCCAACGTGTGTATTTATACTTTTTTTATGTTCAAGTTTAGTAATTTCAGGATGCTTGTCTAGGTCTTGAAATAAACTTAGACATGAATAAATAAATGTATCATGAACATTGCATTGTTTAATTGATTCAACAAGTCAGGCATTCATGAAGTAAAACATTTGTCTTAACTCGGTAATTGTGAATAGTGAACATGCATAACACATACATTGAAATTTCATAATGTGAAAGTATGGACTGAGATTTTTTATACATATTCCCTTATTGTTATGATCATAAACAATTTTATTAATTGGAGAAATCAAGGAAAATTCACTACATCTATGAAAGATACTTTTTTTCTGTAATTTTTAATTCTTTTTGAGGAATGATAAGTCGCAATTTCAATGATAAACAAAGTTGGAAAGATTACCTTTCAGATTATAGAAAAAAATTAGCCTATTAGAAAGAACAAAGAAAATATAACATTAAATGAGATACTAATGCTCTGTAAAGATTTCACTATTTCATCTCCATGCCATTCTTTCTTTTCTTTGTACTAGGACCAAACAAAACGAGGAGAGGAAATTTCCACCCTTTCCTCAAAATTTCTACCTTTCATTTGAAAGTTTGCCCGTGGTTGTAATGCCAAATACCAAAAACAGAGCACTATTTCACATCATTGAAATAAATCTCTCATGCACTTTCATGCAGAGTATAATGATAAAGACGTTTTCCAAGAGATGGAATGCTTAAATGGATAAGAACTCAGTAAATTGTTGTCATAGAAAATTTGTAATTATAAGAAAATAAATTTCATTTTTGTTTGAATTATAAAATATCGAAATTATAATGCGATATTTTTGCTGCAGCAAGTGGCAGCTTTATAATGATGCAGAATGGTTTTGAGTTAACTATGTAGGTGTTGTGGTGCGTTATCGTTGGCATTTTTCATGAAATAATTATAAAAGTCATTGCCAACAATAGTATTTACTATAAGAGCAGCTGACTTCCCCCCCCCCCCCC